ACTTATAATTTTGGAACTGCGTGTTTGCCTAGTATTATGTGTACGTTGATTTTTACTTTTATTTCTTTTACTATGATCGCGCGTTTTTGATTGATCGTGATTTTTATTTTCATGTTTCTTATTGACTGTTTCTTCAGAAGAAGTTTCAGCTATTTCTTGATCTGTTTGTAATGTATTTTCATAGTTAGTATTTTCATCTGTTTTTTTCGGTTTTTGCACGCTTTGGCACTTGAGAATCTAGTGGTAATGAATTGGATTGATGAGAATTTGTAATATTTGAATCTGGTGTATTTGTTGCAGTTAAATTTTCAAGATTTTTTCAGATTCTTCAGAGATGCTTCGATGTGCAGCCAAAAGCTTTGATCTTGTTGAATTGGATGATGTCGAAACTTTAATATTGTTAGAGTCTAAGATTCGTTTTTTAGTGATTGCTTGAATGTCAATGTATGAGATATCTTTGGCATATATGTAAAATTCATTTTCAATGATTTCTAGTTGACCGACAATGAAGAGCATAGATTCGTTTGGGCGAATAGAGTTCTTAAAATGCTTGAATCGAGAGTTATTATATGGATAAGTAATGTTTACTGTAAAGTTGTGTTCTTCAGTGGTATAGTCAGTAATTGAAGTTTTAATGATGGCATTTTCATTGTTTTTAAGCTCTTCAGGTGTATTTTGAGCGACGCCAACCAGAGAAATATTTAACGGACAGTTGTTTGAATTAAGTTGCTTATTGATTATCCTGTTAATCATGATATGTGTTGATGTTGCAACTGTCATCTGGATTTAATAAATGTTAAAGATGAGTAATAAATTTACTATTTGTTTATATTAATTTTTTATTTATCATTATATATAATATTTATTATATTTATTAAATTTAATAATATTACTTTCGGTCTTTTAGCACCACGGTAATGTTCAGGAATAATTTTTCCGCTAATGGCGTAGTACTCATTTTTTTCGAATATAGCTTGGCTGTCAGGATCTCTATCATTTGGATCGATCGGTATGAACATGACCATTTCGATGTCATTGTCTTCTTGTTCGACAGGGTAGGTGCCAATGGCCCATAGAATAATCGAATTAATATTTTCTTTTACAGATTGTCGAACTTGATTGATCTTTACAATAGTACTGCAGAAGCACGGCATAGTTATTTTTT